TAATTCACAACCAATAAAGCAAACAGAGTCGGAGTTGCATCGTCTTTTATGACTGAACGTTGAACTGTTGCCGGTGTTCTGACGATCTATGCTGCCTTGCCGAAAAATGCTACCATAGCGCAAATCGATAGACTCGACTCTACTCGGCCCTGCTTCGTTTTCCATTGCAGATAGTAACCAGAGATAGTACGTAGCTTGTCGTCATAGCGACGCCAAACACAACTGCTGCGACGTAATATGCAGTGTGACACACAACCCAGCGATCCACACAGCTTTCTCTTTTTTAAGTTAAAACATTTCAACGTTCCTCAGAATGTAAAGACAGATAAGCGGTATGAAAACCTTCCAGCTGTGTTTTCCTCTGCCGTTGTTGCTGCAGCGGTCTGTGTGACGGTGGGAGCAGAGGGCTCTGTGAGCGGGCGGCTGGCCGGCCTCACACGCTCCTCCCGCGGGTCACAGCAGGCTTCCCCCGCAGCCACTTGCAGAGCTCCTCAACTCCGAAAATATTCAGGCACATTTTTGTTCCGCCATCACTTCTCGCAAAACTGTCAATATTGGAAATCTACACAGCTGATTTCTCACCTCAAAGCTTCTCAGAAGTGGATTTAGTGATGAAATTCCATACGAAAACTGTAAAATATAAAACTTTCTGTTGCTGGCCTCTGTCTGGCGCACACAATGATGATGCAGTGAATAGTGAATATTCTCTCTGACCAATGTCTGTCGTGTTTTCCCGTTACATTTTGATATCCCTCGGTTCGCTTGGACCCTCGACGGAGGTGAGGTGATACGAAAAATAGTACCTGGAAGCAGGTACAGGTACAACATTTCTACAATGGAAAACCAAACAAAGCCGAGTTGTGCCAAAGGGCCTCCGCTCAAACTAGCTTGGTTTTGAGGGCGTGCCTGACCTGCTAGCCGCTTGGCAAGCTTTATGACGCGTTTTCATTGTGATGTCATAAGTCAAGGAAGTCAAGGGCTGGATTACAAATGAGCTATTTTCAAGCGGTTCAGAGCAGAGCTCTCTGTGGGAGATGGGTGTGGCGTTTATATTTAGTCATAAGTTGTGAGCGTGTAAAACATACTCAAATTATGTTATTCCACACGTGCAAAAATTAACCTTCCCGTGCACACAATACAGTACTTGCGCACAAATTCAACAACCATTGTACAGGTTTCTGCGAGCGAGCGCCCGGTTTGCTCTCAAAGGATAACTCTGCTTGCACAGTGTGCTTCTGCTCGCGCGGAGTGGTGTTTTGCTCGCCCAGTGGATTTCTGCTTGCTCGAGTCTACATGACATTTGACAATTTGGGGGCGGAAAGCAAGGAGGGCACACTCACAACTTATGACTAAAAATAAACGCCATAGATGGGAACTTCCTTTGGGCTGGACTTAGGGCTTTATAACTCAATAAAGGAGAGGGGAAAAGCCTAAAAAGCATAATATCACCTCTTTAAAGATGGAAGCTCTGATCATTAAATGGTGGAAATGCCGTTGACTTGGACCTTCTGTCATGTGTTGCTTTGAATTCTGGCTCTTGTTCCAATAAAAGCAGAATGTTACTGTGAGTGCGTTTGTTGTCTTTCTCAGCTCAGGACTACTGACAGGATTCAGCTGGAAGATACAGTATACGGCCAAAAGTTTGTGGCTGTATACTGTCTGTCAGAACCCAGACCTGAACCCCATTCAACAACCTTTTGGATATCGTGGAACGCTGACCTGTGATCTCAGTCCTGCTCACCAACATCAGTCTTGGACCTCACTGATTCTCTGGTGTCTGAATGGGAGTAAATCCCTGCAGCAGTTTCAACATCTGCTAGAAAGACTGAAAGCAGAAGAGTGGAAGCTGTTATAGCAGCACATTAATGAGCATGCTGTCATGCTGTTCCACTGTCAGCTGTGCACATACTTTGGCCATATAGTGAATTACAGCCTGAGACAAAGCTGCTGTCTTTAAATTTATTGAATGTGTTTTGCCCTTAAAGTGTTTGTGTGGTCTACACCTTTATGAAATGGTGCAGAGTTTTTGAATTCTTGTTTTGCAGCTCTAATACAACACTTTTAAAGTTTTTATCAATGCTGCTATCTAGTACATCCTAACTGCAATTATAATACTCCCTTCTTGACTTGTTGACAGAGCACCTTCACCATCACAACCCCCTCCCTCTGGAGTTCCCTACCCATCATACACATCCGTGAACGTAGCACCTTGACACTTTCAAATCCCTTATCAAAACCCATCTCCTTAGATTAGCCTTCAAACTCAAATAATATTACATTTCACCTGCTGATATTTGGTAGTTTTATGGAACCCTGCTTTTATGTGTTTTTATTTATGTATTTTATCTTTACTATTTTATCCATCTATTTTAATGTAAATATACCTCACATTCACCACTGATATTCTTTGGACAACCGCTCTAGCCACAGCCGCCCCAATCAGAGAAAGGAGATGTTAGTCTGGCAAGATCTAAAGAGTCTCAGAAAGGCTTAATAGAATCCACCTATGGAATTCCAGAGTTGTAACCTCTGCAGTGTGCCTGTGAAATGTAGGAGACACCCTTGTGTTCACTACAACATTAAATAATACAATTTAGGTCACATCAAATTTGACCCGTTTGACGGTTTAATATTTTTACACATTTATATCCTCCATATTTAAAAACACGATCTCATTAGTTGCTGGAAGGTATCCACACCTACACACCTTTATGAATAAAACAGACTGAGTTAATTAAATGTCACAAACGGAATATTTCACATCTGTTATTAAGATAAGTCACCTACAAATGTCCTTTATATAGGCTATACATCCATCCATCTGTGAAATAAAATAGTCAAATATCAAAAATCAACACAATATGTCCATAAATTTTTTCGCAATCTTTGAATCATCATCTAAGATGGCTCATCAAAGTATAGCTGTCCGGTGTTCAGTGCGCTTTGTTTTTTTTTATGTGTTAACTCAGTTTTCGGCTGTGATTCCCGGAACTCTTTCACGAGAGAAGAGCTCATGAACATCAGGGGAACAACTCCAGCTAATTTATTTCCCACTTTTCTCGCGTCATTAGTGGAATTATTAGACATTTTGGTGAAGGGCTCTCTCTCTGTTGGGCAAGGCAAGGCACGTTTATTTGTATAGCACATTTTAACAACAAGGTAATTCAAAGTGCTTTACATAAAACATAAAAGCAACAGGGAAATATAAAAAAAGTTTAAAAGACACATAAAATATAATAAAAGTTATAGTGTTGCAATCAGGGTTAAAAGAGTTAAATGGATATAAGCAATGATAAAAAGCTAAAGACAAAGAAAACAGGACAGCAAAAGTTACAGTGCAGTGTAAGACCTGCAGTTATCTGGGAGTTTATTCCAGATATACGGAGCATAATAACTGAACGCTGCTTCTCCTTGTTTAGTTTTGACTCTGGGGACAGAAAGCAGACCTGATCCCAGACGACCTGAGAGGTCTGGATGGTTCGTAACGAAGCAGAAGATCAGAAATGTATTTTTGCCCTAAACCATTTAGTGCTTTATAAACTAACAGCAGGATTTTCAAATCAATTCTTTGACATACAGGAAGCCAATGTAAAGACCTCAGAACTGGAGTGATGTGATCCACCTTTTTGGTCTTAGTGAGGACTCGAGCAGCAGCGTTCTGAATCAGCTGCAGCTGTCTGATGGATTTCTTAGGGAGCCTGTAAGGACGCTGTTACAGTAGTCAAGTCGACTGAAGATAAATGCATGGATATGTTTTTCCAGGTCCTGCTGAGACATAAGTCCTTTAATCCTTGATATATTCTTCAGCTGATAGTAGGCTGACTTTGTAATTGTCTTAATGTGGCTCCTCAAATTCAGGTCTGAGTCCATGACTACACCAAGATGCTCAATACAGTTACTCAGCGCCTGTATGGGATCATAGTCCCCTGGTGAAATGGTTATGTAAATCCTGTGTGTCATCTGCATAATTATGGTAACATATTGTTGTTTTTCATAATCTCAGTCAATGAGCTTGTAGATAATTTCAGTTCTAAAATTACAAATGTTATTGATGCCATTGCAGCAGCCAAGGTGAAGGTGGTCTCTGGTAAGAGAAGATCTCCATGGAGAAATGCTACGCTGGTTAGAACTCAGAAAAGAGAGTGTCGAAAAGCTGAACGCAGGTGGTGGAAAACAAATCTCCAGGTTCATTATGACATCTATAAAGAGAGGCATTTATAATTTAGAACTGAGAAATGCAAGGCGGTCCTTCTTCTCTGACATCATCACCAAGAACAGGGACAGGAAATCGCAGAGCGACCGACCGCGGTCAGTGATCGTTTCCTCTGGCGGGATGAAGTCTGACGCTCTGCATGATCCATGATAAGATTAATGTCAATACAGCATGCTTTCAATATTTTAGAGAGAGACCACTCAAAATATCACAAATCATGCTTTTCGGGGAGCTGACGTCTTATTAGGGAAATGAAAATAAGCGCCCATAGGTTTGTGAATGTGCTGAAACGCCGGGCACACACACACACACTGCAGCACGTGCCTTACTGTGAGCATGTGCAAACGTGTCCTCATAATCAAGTAATAAGATAAAATAATAAAATAAAATATACGCAGTTAATTGGAATTTATCTTCCAATCATCTTAACAGGAGACCCGCACAGTACCTACTGAGCTGAACATGCACATGAGTATACAAGGATTTGAAATAATTTGACTGTGTTCTGGCCCGCCATATAATCACCATTGCAACACAAACCCTGAATAATGCACATGTAAATATCTGCATTGTTCTTTCTCTAACAGTCTTGTATTATTTTTCTCTATTCTTATATAACTTGCATTTACCATTCCTTATTTATACATCTATTTATGTCATCTGTATGTCTGTCTTCCTGTAGCACCGTATCACCAAAGCAAATTCCTCTTATGTGTAAAACACTACTTGGCAATACCTGGCAAAAGCGCCTTCTGTTGATACAGATTAAAATGTACTGATACACACACCATTTTTAAAAGTTTTATTTTGAAAACCACAAATACAATGTTTTGTACATTTTGTTTGCATAAAAATATAATAACAGCCAATAGCTTATGTAAACATGAAAACCATCCAAGTGTGCATTGTCATTTAAGATGTAATATTAATTGTTATCGGGCGTCAACGCTTTATAATGGCAGGAAAACACTGTTAATGACCTCAGAATCATAACACTGTTCATGTTTGCCTTCATTATCATTAAAGATGTAATATTTTATATAAGTAATGCAATTACCCCATGCATAATCATATAAACACAAATGAGTCTTTAGTTTCTGCAGGTTTCATCTAGTCAAATTTGAGACACCATCAATGAAATTTAAGACCTATCACGACATTAAAAAAAAAGAATAACTGAGTAAATAAATTTATTCAAATTAGGTTTGAGTGACGTCTACAAAACTGGCATTGGACATCAACAAGTAATTAAAAGTCCAGAACAAAAACAAAAAACAAGTTCTGTGTCTTTTTGGCGAGTTTATAAAACATACCCTACTGCTGATGGAGAAACTCAGGGGAGCAGACAGGCAGACAGAGAGAGGCGGGGAAAGTCCGTGTGTTGCAGTTATAGACCAGAGGTAAAGGTGTGTGTGAATGAGCGCAGGGAGAAGTTGATTTAAGTAGGGATTAAAACATGTTAATAAAAAAGTTGTAGTTAATTTCCATAGGGATTAAAACATGCTTTCACAGGGCGGTATAATGTAAAAAATTAAGATGGTATTTTGTTTGGGGTCATCAGTGATCATGTGAAATTTTAGTAGCTGCGCTCATTCATTAAGTAGCGGCAGTAGGCTTCAAATACGTTGCTATCAACTGTTTTTAACCAAGTTCTGTTTCTTTCAAGCAAGAGTTGATAAGGTTGCACTTTCGCACAGCTGAAGAATAAATCTGTTTTATATCTGTGGTACAACCCGAAAGAGACTGGCGGCAATAACACGACAGCTGCAAGCTGGTCTTTGTAGTCATAAAATAGTCAATTATATTTGGACTAGTGGAAGAAAAACTACAACATCACGAGAGGAAAAAACATTCTAAAGCACTGCAGGAGCAGTGAGCGGCAACGTAACCGGGCTCAGCGGTTTTTACGGACATCACAGCAGAGGCAAAGAGCAGTGATGAAGTACTTCTTCTTCCACCGTTTCCTCAACTGTATGGATTTTCATGTGTTTTCTCAGTTGGGATTTCCATGCAAATTTATTATCACAAACTGAACAACTGAATGGTTTCTCCCCTGTGTGAACACTCAAATGTTGATTAAGATTTTTCTTATGTCCAAATCCTTTTCCACAAATTGAACAAATATAGGGTTTCTCCCCAGTATGTACTCTCATGTGTTCGGTCAAATTGCCTCTACTCCTGAAACTTCCTTTACAAACTGAGCATGTGAAAGGTTTTTCTCCTGTATGAACTCTAAAATGTGTGGTCAAACCTGAGCTTTGTGCAAATCCTCTACCACAGACAGAACAACTGAAGGGTTTCTCTCCTGTGTGGGTTCTCATGTGCTTCACAAGATCTAGTCTGTGATTAAAAGTTTTTTTACAATCTGAGCAGCTGTAAGGTTTTCCTTCTGAATGAAGTCTCATATGAGACATTAAGGACTCCTTACAAAAATATCTTTTGTCACAAACTGGACATCTAAACTGTTTCTCTCCTGTTTGGAGTCCCTTGTGGCCAAAGCTTGCAGCATATTCAGAGGAGCAACTTGATGTTTTTCCATTATTATATTCCACATCACTTCCAGGTACTTCTTTGTTTTGCAGAGGGTTTAAACCTGACTGAGGTTCCCTGGTCTCCTCCCTATCATAACTGACACCAGTCTCAGGTTCAGAAGAGTCTGAAGTCTTGTCCCCAGCAGCTGGTTGTAAATGTCTATCTAGATCGGAGTTCCTGGCTGGTTCTGGTCCTCCACAGTCCTCTCCATCAGCTTCTGTTTCCATCTGTTCAGTGAGTCTTTGATGAAGCTGTGAGGACTGAGGTTTCTCTTCTTCATCTTCTTCACTCTTCACAGAGACAGGACTAAATGGGAACTTGATGATATCAGCCTCCTCCAGCCCTCGAAGCGGCTCTCCTTCCCAACTGGTCCGGGGTTCAGATGAGGGTAACATCTTGTCATCAGCAGCTGAATGTGAAGGTCTATCTGGATCCGAGTTCCTGGCTGGTTCTGGTCCTCCACAGTCCTCTCCATTAGCTTCTGTTTCCATCTGTTCAGTGAGTCTTTGATGAAGCTGTGAGGACTGAGGTTTCTCTTCATCGTCTTCTTCACTCTTCACAGGAGTGAATGTGAACTTGGTGATATCAGCATTCTCCAGCCCTCGAAGCTGCTCTCCCTCCTGAGTGGTGAAGAGTTCTTCCTGTTCCTCCTTAATGTGTGGGGGCTCTGGTGGGTCCTCCTGGTCCAGACTGGGGCTCGAGTCCTGCTGCTCAGGGGGAACCACGTCTTCACTCACCAGCAGCAGCTGGACGCCTGTGGAGAATAATTAAATACATACGTCTTAGTAAGGGTGTGGAAAATAATTGATTTTTAGATGCATCGTGATGCGGACTTGGGCGATTCTGAATCGATTGACAAATGTCAATAATCAATTATCTAGAAGTTAATTGATAACATAATGTTGACAGAACCAAATAAGCTCGGAACTCAAATGTGGAAGCTCCGCACCTTCTGTGCAGCACGGTAGCCCTTAGCTAGTGTCCTCTCCTCATTCTCAAAGGACAGGTGGCAGTAGGTGACGTGAAGCGAGCGGAGCAGAGGAAAACATAAGCGCTACGTTTCAGTTTGAAAGTAAATGTACAGTGCAGGTCACAGCGTGTCCGTTAATTAAAGTCTGTCTGCTTTCCAACTACTGAAGGCTGCGGTCTGGAAGCTGAGCAGGATGCTTTATGGCTGCTAGTTCAGGTTTGTTGTCATTCATCCACAAATCAAACACACAAATGAACGAAATGCCGTTTCTCAAGGCCCATGATGCTCAATACAAGATCACAATAATCAACTTACAAGAAACAAACATGTAATTACACTATACGAGACACAAAAAGGAACAGAAAGGTGGAGTGACGTGGTTTGGCTGGAACGTTGTAAAGTGCGAGATAAAAATAGCAGCAGAGGTCAGTGATAACGCTGTAATAATGTAATTATGCTACGTAATGTTGCATAGGTGATGCATCAAGATATCGAATCCAATCGTGAGACTAGTGAATATCCCTATGTCTTAGAAAACTAACTTCCTGGTAACATTTAAACTACTGACACCACTACTTTCTTAAACGTGTGGAGAAACGCTGCACATTTTGTACAACTTATTTGGAATTCAAACGAAAACTGCAAGCATATCATACAGAGTTTAGAATTGGTCTTTATATGTTTTTATGTTGTATGTTCATTTCTATTCTATACCTGGGGCAATCAAGTGAAAGTTCAATGAACAAAGGGTTATCAAACTCATACATAAAAAAACTTATTGAAGTCAAAAGTGAGAAAATGTGCCTTTTTCCTTCTCTACACAACAAACTGACTACACTGGTCACTTCCGTCAGCCGATTAGAACACTTTCAATGACTTTTTTGTAAAGCTATGAAAAATAAAAAATTAAATTAAAGCTGCAAGCAGCGTTGGGCGGGCCCTCGCACTTGTAGCGCATCGGGGTGTGAGCCGGCCGAGTTGCATATTCTGGAGCTCTGCCGGTGCTGCTGTGAATTTGCTACGCAGTTATGACGCCGCATGAAGGTGCTATATGTCATGTTCTTTCTTTACAACTGTCTGCATAGCTTATTCATATTGTGTAATGAATGAAAATAAATAGGCCTACTAGGCTCCTCTCTACTTTGACATTTAAGATTAGCTGGTTTGATCCACCTTCATACACGTGACATTACTGTACAACTTGAGAAAGGTGAGTTGTTTTCTGCTCCAGCCTGCCTAAAAGAAAAGCGTTTTTGGGATTAAATGGACTTTATTAGCTGCTGCAGTGCAGGATGAACTCAGAATAGACCCATTTCTCACCTTATTATTCTAAATCATGCAACGAAGAAGAAGAAATGCATAATAAATCCTGGGACAAAATCTGTCCACAAATACTGTACAGCATGTAGTCTGATGATCAAGACTTGTGTTATAGCTGACTTGGGCAGTGAAATGTTTAATTTTTTTAATTCATGTGGTCATAGTTGTCCACAACTCAAATCAGAATATAAGAAGAAATGTTTTATACCACCTCAAGAAGGCTTCTATCAGAAAGGTAGGAAGGTATTTCAAATGTACAACTGCAGTCCTGAAATCTAAGTAAAGTAATTTCCCTGACATTTGTGTTACTTTACTTTTAATAGATATTATATTTTGCCACGCCCATGTGCGAAACTTGTAGAATACGAAATTTTTCACCGGTTCTGACATGTTTGCAAATTTTGGTGAGTTTTCGAGTATGTTTAGGCCATGTCATTTGAGCCTACTTTGCAGCAGAAAAAAAAAAAAAAAAAAAAAAAAGCAAATTCAATAGGGACCTCGCACGGTCGTGCTCGGGCCCTCATAATAATCCGAGCAAATTCAATAGGGACCTCGCACGGTCGTGCTCGGGCCCTAATAATAATCCGAGCAAATTCAATAGGGACCTCGCACGGTCGTGCTCGGGCCCTATAATAATCCGAGCAAATTCAATAGGGACCTCGCACGGTCGTGCTCGGGCCCTAAAAAAATAAATAAAAATCTGAGCAAATTCTATAGGGACCGCGCACGGTCGTGCTCGGGCCCTAAATAGCAGTACTGCAGCATCTGTCCCCACACCACCAGGCTCGAGAATAGCTTCATCTCTCAGACCATTGAGCTCGTCACTATGTCACTTTACTGCACCTCACGGTCACTTTACCTTTATACTACTTTTACGGGTTTCTTGCAGTTTACATCTACGTACAGGGTTTCCGCTGCTTATTCCCGCCGCTGCTTCAGAATTGTATGAAATGTCGTAATTACACGACTCTGAAAAGGCTTTTAGTTTGACAGAATAGAATACAGAATATATATAATATTATAATATTTAGAATATGCTGTCGTGGCACCAAAGGTGCAGTGAAAAATTTGGTTGCACCTACATTTTGTAGCGGTGCAACCAATGCAAGAAGTTAGTTGTGAGGAGTTAAAAATAACCTTAAACATCTCCAGCAGCAGTGGTGTAGTCTGTGAAATTGGCTAATGTAAATCACCAAAAGGGATATGAAACGAGAGCAAACTCAAACTACACACTGAAAGTCCCTATTGAATTTGCTCGGATTATATTTAGGGCCCGAGCACGACCGTGCGAGGTCCCTATTGAATTTGCTCGGATTATATTTAGGGCCCGAGCACGACCGTGCGAGGTCCCTATTGAATTTGCTCGGATTATATTTAGGGCCCGAGCACGACCGTGCGAGGTCCCTATTGAATTTGCTTTTTTTTTTTTTTTTTTCTGCTGCAAAGTAGGCCAACTGACATGGCCTAAACATACTCGAAAACTCACCAAAATTTGCAAACATGTCAGAACCGGTGAAAAATTTCGTATTCTACAAGTTTCGCACATGGGCGTGGCAAAATGTCGACTCGCATTAAGTGCGTTAAAGCGTCGTTGCATCCGGTGTAGGGCTGCAGCCCCCCTGCTGTCATGGTAACGTAACGCTACGCCGCATGTCATCTAACATTCGGCCGTTTCATATTTTCTGTTTATTTAACGGCCACGTCTGAGCGAGAAAACAGCTGACAGTAACATTACAACCAACAGCAGCACAGTCTGAGAGTCGTTTGAGTTGTTTTCTTTGCTCCACACTGATGCAGAAATCCATCTGATGATCATACTGCATTACTCAATAATGAAATAAAATCAGAAACATTTAAAAGCTTTAAGTAAAGTAGCCTAATTAATGTCGGTTATTGTCACAACATCAGTGACGTGGAAATTTGATTCATTTAAGATTTGCTGCTATTGTCATTATTCTAATGTGCTTCATCAGGATGATTAAATAAAATATCGATTTATTGATTAGACATGTTTTTGATATTTATTTTGGATAAATTGGTTTGTTAACTGAGTAATAGTAAAATGGGACTCATACTGACCAGATAACAGAAACCAGAGACTGTTGTGCCCTCATCGTTATAGAGACCTGTGGCCTGGACTACGAAAGGAGTTCAACCTACTCAGAGTTAACTCGGGGTCATCAGGCAAACTCAGACTGCCTACACTGGAGTTAAACGGTACTACGAAGGTGGATAAGATGTTGGTTAGTTGAGTTTGCGTTAACTCGGTGTTGGTGCACGTTCGCGTAAAAGCGGCGTGTTCGGCCGTGCAGGCAGTTTTTTGCAACGCCGCATGCTCCTTATTTCTCCAGAGGAACGCACGTTGGTAGTGTCAGGAAATTGTGAATGTAAAGACACGTTAACGGCTGAATCTAATGTCGTGGCGGACGACATGCACTCCCTGAAAAGTTATATTAAACTTTGCAATCGAATTTAGCAGTGAGGAAATACTTTAGCCCACAATCACCATCATGCACCTTAGAGACTTTGGATTGGACGTATTCACAACAGTGATTTTCCATTTTTTATTACATTAATTTCAGGAAATTTCCAATTTTTCTTCTTGTAAATTTCCTACTTTAATCTAGATTTTTTTTCCTTGGTTATTAACCCTCACATAATCCACACATAAAATAATCTAAATATGTGAAAACACTTTGGAGAATTCAGTTATAGACTACAGAAAGGATCCTGTTAATTAAGAATCCTCTCTAAAATCCCAGAGGCTGCAGGGCTCGCTGTCTGAACGTGATGCTGTTGTGTTCAGAACTTCATTGCAGCCGCAGTGGAACAAATCAGGATGAAATCTAAACATATTTTATGAAGCGGTGTGTATTCATTATCTAGTCACAAAGTAACAGAGGACTCCTATGCTAGTTTCAGTCCCTCCAAAAATCGATCATCTTGTTGAAAGTGCTGCAGGTTCGCTGCGAATGACACTCGACTCTGTAGCCCCTCTAAAAAAGAAAATTAAAGCAAATATCACGGAAACTTGAGAGGAATTGGCGTTCCACCAAACTGGAAAATTCTCGTTTAATTTGGCAAGATAGTCTTAAAACTTATAGGAAGGCCCTCCGTAATGCCAGAGCAGCGTACTACTCGTCATTAATAGAGGAAAATAGGAACAACCCAAAGTTTCTTTTCAGCACTGTAGCCAGGCTGACAGAGAGTCACAGCTCTATTGAGCCAAGTATTCCCATAGCTCTCAGTAGTTACGACTTCATGAGCTTCTTTAATGATAAAATTCTAGCTATTAGAGACAAAATTCACCAAGACCTGCCCTCAACTGGCACCAACTTATCTCTAAACTCAGGAACCTTAGAAACAGCTGTAGAACCAGATACATGTTTAGACTGTTTTGCTTCCCTCAATCTATACCAACTAACTTCAATAATTTCTTCATCTAAACCATCAACCTGCCTCTTAGACCCCATCCTGACTAGGCTGCTTAAAGATGTTTTACCCTTAGTCAGCACTTCTATACTAGATATGATCAATCTATCTTATCAACAGGCTATGTACCACAGTACTTTAAAGTAGCTGTAATTAAACCTCTTCTGAAAAAGCCCAAACTTGATCCGGATGTTTTAGCCAACTATAGACCTATATCTAACCTTCCATTTCTCTCTAAGGTTCTGGAGAAAGCAGTTGCTAAACAGCTGTGTGACTTTCTACAGAGCAATAGTTTATTTGAGGATTTTCAGTCAGGATTTAGAGCTCATCATAGCACAGAGACAGCACTGGTGAAAATTACTAACAACCTCCTTATTGCATCAGACAAAGGACTTGTCTCTGTACTGGTTTTATTAGATCTTAGTGCTGCATTTGATACCATTGACCATCAGATCCTATTGCAGAGACTGGAACATTTCATTGGCATTAAAGGAACCGCTCTAAGCTGGTTTAAGTCCTATTTATCAGATCGATTTCAGTTTGTACATGTTAACGATGGGTCCTCCATGCATGCCAAAGTTAGTCATGGAGTTCCTCAAGGATCTGTCCTCGGACCAATCCTCTTCACTTTATATATGCTTCCTTTAGGCAATATTATCAGGAAACACTCCATAAACTTTCATTGTTATGCAGATGATACTCAGTTATATCTATCGATCAAGCCAGATGAAACTCATCAGTTAGCTAAACTTCAAATGTGCCTTCAGGATGTTAAAACCTGGATGACCTGTAATTTTCTCATGTTAAACTCAGATAAAACTGAAGTTATTGCTCGGGGCCTAAGCACCTCCGTGACGCATTATCTAAAGATATAGTTTCCCTGATGGCATCGCCTGGCCTCCAGCACCACTGTGAGGAATCTTGGAGTTATCTTTGATCAGGACATGTCGTTTAAGTCTCACATTAAGCAAATTTCAAGGACCGCCTTTTTTCACCTACGTAATATTGCGAAAATCAGGAACATCCTGTCTAAAAATGATGCAGAAAAACTAGTCCATGCATTTGTTACTTCTAGGCTGGATTACTGCAATTCCTTATTATCAGGCTGCTCGAAAAAGTCCATTAAGACTCTTCAGCTGATCCAGAATGCTGCAGCACGTGTTCTGACAGGAACCAGGAAAAGAGATCACTTTTCTCCTGTTTTAGCTTCTTTGCATTGGCTTCCAGTAAAATCCAGAATAGAATTTAAAATCATTCTTCTCACCTACAAAGCTCTTAATGGTCAGGCACCATCTTATCTTAAAGAGCTCATAGTACCTTACTACCCCACCAGAGCACTGCGCTCCCAGAATGCAGGGTTACTTGTGGTTCCTAGAGTCTCCAAAAGTAGACTAGGAGCCAGAGCGTTCAGCTGTCTAAAATGGGAATTGTTGGGCTTCTGTAAATAGCATCATAGAGTACGGTCTAGACCTGCTCTTTTATGAAAAGCGCTGTGAGATAACTGTTGTTGTGATTTGGCGCTATATAAAAAAAAAATTTAATTGAATTAATATCTACTTCTCATCATTAACACTGAGTACAGATGTGGTGTGTAGTCCACGTGCAGGGTAACCTCAAGTTAACCACGAACAAAACCTGCCTGGAGCAGTTCAGAGATGCGGTGTAAATTGCCATGGCAACAGACCTCGGGTAACACCTTTCGTAGTACGGGTTAACCAGGAAGTTACACCCGACATCATAAAGTTAGTCCTGAAGTTACCTGGATAAGCCAGTAATATAACGAAAGTTTTTATATCCCTTTAGGTGATTTAAATTAGCCAATTTCACATAGACTACACCACTGCTGCTGGAGATGTTTAAGGTTATTTTAACTCCTTACAACTAACTTCTTGCATTGGTTGCACTGGCCTAAATGAAAAATCTAGGTGCACCGCTACAAAATGTAAAAAAAAAATTTTCACTGCACTTTTAGCGCCATGCTGTATAATGAGTAATAAACAACCTCGTAACAGGCAACTTTCTTTGCTGTAGAATACACAAAATTGTCCTTAGATTAATTGACTTGAAAAATAATCGGCTGCGATTGGTCTGTTGACTGAAGCGAGTGACATGCACATCCGTGAAAAAAAAGGCACCGATACAGCAAAGGTTAAATGGCAGCGAGCCAAACTCAAACCTTCCTGATCTTCTCCCAGTTCTCTTTTGTCTGACCTTCAGCTGCATTTCTCTCCGTGGCGAGTCCGACTGACTATGTTTTAAACAATTAGTGCATAGGCTCATCTGTATGGGCGGAGATACTGAGCACATCACACACACCTTCTCTGTTTTATTAAAACGTGCACGTTATGTATTCATGAGACATCGCGATTGCTGTTAGATTAATTGTGCAGTATAGATAAAGACATTTCCTCCATAAATTGGTGCAGAAAATGTCTCCAGAATGCAGGAAATTAAGTGTTTAAAACTCAAAATCTTCAGGGGAGGAGCCCCAGCCCCCCAATCGTATATTTTAATCACGAATATTTCTTTAAATAGTATTAAAAATATCTTCCAGCCTTGTTCTCGTGACCCCAATATTCTGGATTATCAATCGCTTATGCTAAGTGTTTAATCACAACTTTAATCTGAGCCCTGAAATGTCCCCACCACTGTTCAACACAAAGGAACTCCTGCTGCATGTATTACTGAGTGCAGTGCTGCTTACTGGACGTCCCTCTGGGACGGGAGGACAAAAATCACAGTACTACAAAAAACCACGGTCCAACAGTAAAATGCAGCAGGAATATTAATCCAGAAACATCAGATATAACAGAGAAACACTTACAGGAACATTTTACTGCACTGTGAGTACTTTTACTGCAGTAAAGGCAGTTTACAGTGAGAATAAGCAGTAAAGTGTACAAACCTGCTTCAGGCTTGAAAACAGCGTCCAGTAGTTTGCGTTGTCCACAAAGTTCCTCCTCGTACTCTGCTATCGTTCTTTCAAACAGCTCAAATATCTCTTCAGCAGCCGCACTTAGTCGCTGCTGGACAAAAGCTCTCAGCGTTTGGACTTTAGACATGTTTACAGCAGCTTTTCCTCCAGACACACTCCGTTACAGACACGCAGCTCACTCTGATAAAATACTGAGCTCCGGCTACTTCCTGCTAACAAGCTACTCTAACTTCATTAGCTGTTTCAGAAAGCAGGTTTAACAAACTCTGACCTGAAACTCTGAGTTTTCGGTTCCAGAACAGCTGATCAGAACCAGTTCACTCTGAGTATGTTGAGCCTGATGGAAGCACGTGCGTGGCGATGAAACAAAGCTCATCAATGGCGCTCCGAGACCACGATTCTTCTTCTTCTTCTATTTCTGGCGACTTGTACCCAGATGGAGCAGCATTATCGCCACCTACTGTCTTGACTGCAGCACTCACAAGTTCCAGATGGATGTTTTCCAACAAGGTGCAGAGATGCATTTAACTTTGTGTGACCCAGTTCTGCTGAATTGACTGTTCCTCCTCACTTTCTGCTGAATCTAAATATCTTCCTTTATTTCTATTATCCCATAAACTCTGCGCTGCATCTTAACTTTGCTTTGATCTCCTCTTTGCTAACTGGTCCTGCCGCCTCTGCCTGATTTACTTTCTACCTGTTTTTAGCTAATGTGTGCCGGGACCCATAGAAACTGAACATCGGTCCCCAGACTACTCACTCTGTATAAAGATATCAATATTTCAAACAATATATCCTCCCTACATTTTGACATTGTACTTTTGAGACGACCCAGAGCTGCGCTTGAATCTGAACAAATGATCATTCTCATTGGTTTGACTTCCTCTATCCGCTGTAGTGCAAACAAGACCTCCGTCATTTCTGCTGCAGACACCGATAAATGGCAGGTTCGTCTTTCAAACACCTTAATTTTTGCTCAACAGACTTATTATAAACTAATGAGTCAGAAAGTTCATCCATCCAGAGTTTCATCTTCAGTCTGATGAAGGTGAAGTTTCTGCAGGTTCCTTCCTCAGTCTGATCTTCTTCCTCTCTCTGGTTGTTCATCTTCGTCAGTGCTGAAGATGATACTGTCACGCTTCAGATAAGACCCAGGAATAGACTGGAGACAAAAGCTGGTTCTCAGAGATTTATTGAGTCAAGGAGCTGGCGGTGGCTGCGGGGATCGGGGCAGGCAGAGCTGGCAGGCGAGGAAGCTGATGGGGTTCAGGCAGAGAGGCGGACGGGTAACTGGCAGGAGAGTGAGATCCAGGAGGCGGGGAAGGTGAGTTGGTCACAGACGGGTCCGGTAGAGATCCTGAGCACAGGAAAAACAGGTTAGTTGTCAGCTTAACAAACAGAGTACAGGTATAGTTCCTGTAATGGGAATTCCAAACATATTGCATGTAACCCTGGACTCACAGAGACTCATCTGAATCTGTGTAAACGTAACAGTCAAATATCTCTGTTCTCTGTGGTATCCAGACTTCAGGGACAACGTGTCTCTGTGGGATGATAAGATTGACCCTAAAACTGGATAAATAACAGGCTCACGGAGCTCTGCTCACTCATTCCAGCACACATGTACACGGCGTATTTGTTTTGCTGTGAGTCCTTCTGCAGAAGACTTGAATAAATTTCACAAAAAGACAAGTGTTTGCCTGAGCTGTTTATTTAAACACGCAATTCCCACCACATTCCTAACCAAACGAGCTGGTAGCCAAGACAAAAGGGCCCAAAACCAAAACTGCAGCCACACCCAGGGGGAAAAAAACACACAAACACAAGGCAGTCTTCCACAAGTCAGGGTTAGGTCACAGCAGGGGGGGCGTGACAGATCCAGTGGAGAAGGACGCCGACCGGTGACCTGGAGACGTGTGTTCAAACCTCGGCTCTGCTTGAGGTACATGACAAACCTTCAAACTGAACTACAAAAACAAAACTCCAAACAAACAGCAGGTAAGGTCATTTACATTTCCTCATGTGGCAGACGCTTTTATCCAAAGCGACTTACATTTGAGGAACAACATACAAGCATCAACAGAGCATCAACTACAGATCTACAACTGACAAAACATACTAGTAAGAGCAGCAATAAATACTAGTAGAGCTCACAGTACATATCACATCAATGGGGTAAATACCGAGGGAAGGAAGTAAGAGTTAACAAAAAGTGCAATCAATACAAGATCATTGTAGGGGATAGAAGAAGAAGAGCACAGGAAGTGCATGTTAGAGGTTAGGAGTTAGAGGTGTTATCAGAGGAAGAAGACGCCCCTGCTCTGATGGCGTGCGGTAGCTCGTTCCACCATCATGGTGTCACAGATGAGAACAGGGACTGGGATTGCTTTGTGTGAAGGGACGGCAGAGCCAGGCGGCGTTCGTTGGAGGAGCGTAGCGGCCGAGAAGGAACGTAAGTTTGTATTATGGAGTTTAGGTAGATGGTGCAGACCCAGTAGTCACTCTGTATGCAGCATTAGTGACTTGAATTTGATTCTGGAGGCCACGGGGAGCCAGTGGAGGTCACTGAGTAATGGAGTGACATGAGTCCTTTTGGGCTGATCAAAAACCAGACGCGCTGCTGCGTTCTGAACCATTTGTAGGGGTTTCACCGCACAAGCTAGAAGACCTGCTAGGAGGGCAGAGAGATAACCACGGCCTGTACCAGAAGCTGGGTGGCGTACTGAGTGAGGTAGGGCCTGATTTTTCTGTGAAATGTGGTTTGAAATGAAGGTGACTGTTGTTCTGAATGCACCAGGACACCAGTGCTGGTGCATTCAGAACAACAGTCACCTTCATGGTCAATCTCCCACCTGAGATGAGTGTATAAAAAACAACAAGCGATACATTCATCCATCGTCAACTGCTTGTCCTGTGTACAGGGTCCTGTGTACCTTCTTGCTGTGAGGCGACAGTGCTAACCATTGCACCACTGTGCTGCCCAACAAGTGATACACTGTAAAAAAAACACAAAACAAAAGAAAACGCGATACACTGTAAAAAGAAAGACAAAGAACAAAAGTAACCAGGTTACAGAAGTGATTCCGTCAGAGAGACAACACAAGGAATGTATGACACACCTGTTGTAGAGTAGTACATGTTAGCAGAAATGTTCCTTGTCATTGCCTTCAGTCAGTCAGACTGCATGCTTTGATAAAAGTCACCATAATCTCTGTTTTTAGCACAGGCAGGGACATTTTGGCACATTTATAAAAAGAACGTCTCTCACCAAGTACGATTTGGTTCCTTCATTTGTACCAAAGAGCTGATAAAAGGAATCGGACCATTGAATGTAACATTACTATTTGAAAATGAATTACCTGTTTGACGCCCCCTGTGTAAGAGGTATGATATGGTGGTGAGCTGTGGTTCAGGACAAACTCAGCTAAGCAGTTTTCTCTTTATAAACAGCAACAGCTCTGGAATAACTTTACGAAACTCAGATGCAAAATCTGCTCTTTGCACACTAATACAGATAATCTGCATGTTTCCTTGTGTACTTTGAGTCACATTCACTGTAAAAACAACAACTGAAGTCAAAACTTAAGAGGTGCCAACAAACCAAGCCTCTCTCTGCTTCAGATAAAGGTTTGTTAACTTGTCATCAGCTGTGGAACGAAGGAAAACCAATTTTCAGGTCTCTGTTTGCTGCCAGCTGCTGGTAGAGAGGGGGAGGATTGAAAGAGGAGCAGAGAGGAGGGTGGAGGAGCAATAGAGGAGGAGATGTAGAATAAACTGGTGACTCTTAACAGTAACAGTAAGTAACTAGCTTATCCCTGAGGGTTATCCAGAGCATGTTCACTCTGAAAAACAGAGCGCTTTCTGAGTTAAGCAACTAATTTTATTAAAGTGGTGTGAAACAGGCTTTGAGGTACGTTTCCTCTCTTTAGTGGGTGGTGATGGCGCATAGATAAAATGCCTGCCTTTGGTGTGGGAGACCTGGGTTTAATTCCCACTGTGACCCATCCACCATTGTGTCCCTGAGCAAGACACTTAACCCCTCGTTGCTCCAGAAGCAAGCGACCTCTGATATGTGTAGCAATTGTAAGTCGCTTTGCATAAAAGCGTCAGTTAAATGTAATGTTAAGCCATAACCCTGACCAAGTAGTTTTGTTTCCTAAACCTAACCAAATTGTAGTTTTATTTTGAAAGTATAATCCCTGTTGCATTTTGTTGCTCACTTGACCGCAGAGCCCTACCTGTCGAAAAAAGTCAGTAAAGGGTGTTGAACAATCGTGTATATATGACAAGTTGGGAGTGAGAATGTGTTGGTCTGCCATGCCAGACGGTTCTCATCTCAGGGCATCAAATACCAAAGCTTTCAGAAAAAGTGACAAAGCATAGTTATTTGATCTAATATTCACCTCACACAGAAGCTAAAGGCTATGTTTAGCGTCTGTGTGAGATGAATGATTTGTGTTTCCTCTCCAGGTGAAAGTGGATGTGAGTTGAGCAGCATGAGTCAGTGTGAGGACAGAGAGGAGGGAGTCCCTCCCTCTAAAAGCACTCTGTGTGGGGAACATGACAGCCAGACCAAAGCTCAGAGGTGAGATGAGGATCTCTAACTGTCCAGGACTCAAATCACTCCACCATCATTATTCACTCTCAAAGCTCTGTGTGTGTTGTGTTGAAGCCCAGAGCAGCAGCAGGGACCAGACTCTGCTGGACCTGGACCTGGACCTGGACCAGAGCCCAGCTGTGTGTCCTTCAAGAGTGACGAGTCCATGCACACACCACTAATTTTCAAAGGATCACTTACAGAGTAAGTCAACATCACGTAACTTCATAATGTCACCAACATTACAGAACATTTGGAGGAACAAATTCCTTCCTTATTAACAAGAAGCACAGGATTTGAAACTTCCCATTACTTTCTCATTGGCTTATTTGAACAAGAATCAAGGACTATGGCCAATTGCTGTCTGAGTGGCAGCAGCAGCGATATGTCAGTAAAACAAGAGGAATAATCTCAGTGTGATCCACCTCCACATGTTCACTCTCAAAGAAAGAATTCTACTAAAAACACATTCTGCTCTTCAGAAAGTAGTCTAAGCGTCGCGAGGACCAGTCTGGCGTGCTGGTTGTCATGGATAGCGAGGGCTCATCGACTAAACTACATGAAAAGTTTTAGGGCCAACTTGAACAGCAAATG